ATTAAAATTTTCAGATACAAAAAAAAATAACATAATTGACATACTGACRAAGTTTCAATAAAATCTTAACAAAAAAATTCGAGTTGTTCGAATGTACATCATTTTGCTCAAACAACTCGAAAAAAAAAATTAAGATTTTATTGAAACTTCGTCAGTCTGTCAATTATGTTGTTAAAAAAAAATTCTTAAAATTTTATTACAGTCTCTGCGATGAGTTTCGAGAAAAAAAAAAATGAAGAAAAATGAAGGTGTTWTYATTTTGCAYCRTTTATMMAAATAAAAAAACTTTTTGGCAAATTAATTTATCAACAAAAATTATCGATAATCATTAAAAAAACTGTGAAACTTTGAGTGCAATTGAATCGAAAATTGCGACGTAGTTGGAGTTTAAAAATACACGCGAAGCGCTATTTATTACGATCGAATGCGTACTTCATAAGCTAATATCAGTCAAAGCAACCAATAAATCATGAAATAAATAACATGCAAGAAAAACGAGCATAAAACATTTCAAGGTTGTCTACCTATCTCACATTTATCTCCCATGAATCCTTTCGCGCAGTTGCATTGATATTCTTGCCTGTTGTCTTAAAAAAAACATTTACCGCCATTACGACATGGACTCTCTTGGCAAGGATTCTGAAAAAAAAAATATAAAAAAGTTTGAAATTGAAGAAATTGACTTTGCCAGTCAAAAAAAAAGGCATTCAGCAAGCCGATCACGTAATGAGAGGCACGATCAACAAAAAAAAAACCGATAAAATATCTCTGGCGATTAATTGAAGTTTGCACTAATTTAAAAAAAGTTCTTTCTCCATGTCAGTAAAAGTAATTGGACAAGACGTTGTTGAAAAAAAGAAAAAGAACATCTACTTAAGTTTAAGAAGATGGAAAATAACATTAAAAAAACGAAAGCGTGAAGACCACACATCTTTTTATTATAAAGAACAAACAAAAAAAATGTGCGACACTTTGCACTGTTAACAACTGCTAACTGAAAAATAGAAAAAAAAAGATTAGCACAGAGTTTGTACTCGTTCTATAAATTCTCTTACCCAAAAAAAACTCAGTTTCCTATCGGATATTAAAAGGCTCTGTTTGGAGAAAAACAAAAAAACCCCAGAATCTGGGTCGTACGATATATGCATACCAATGTTGCATGAAAAAAATTAAGCCAATCAAAACCAAGACACATACGAGTCCAAACAGAGGTCAAAAAAAGACAATGAAATCTACTATTTCTCTAGTCCAATAGCATTCAGACAAAAAAAAACTAATTAAAGTCCCGCTGTATTTCATAAGCCGCTAAAACACTAAAAAAAAAATGAGGAAAGTAAAGTTTGCCAAACACTTTCGCAAAGGGTGCGGTTAAAAAAAGAAAAAATTAATTATGGAAAGAGTGCAAAGTAACTTCCAGAAAAAAAAAAAATGAATAAAATGAAAAGAAAACCCAGTAGTATATTAAGACTACATTAAAAAAAAAAACGTTAATGTTTTATGAGAAAAGAGAAGTTTATCGAGCATATAA